AATCCTGGGTTTTTTTGCCTCCTGGGAAAGCTCCCGAGGGATTCGGGAGCCCATCCCAGCTCCAAACAGCCCCTTTGGGCCCTTTTGGGGGCATTTTTGGGATTCCCAGGGAATTCTGGCACGAGCAGGAGCGGGAATCGAGGGAGACCCCGGGGCTCAGCTTCCCACTGGGAATGCAGGAATTCCAGGGGGTTCCCGGGGATGGATCCGTGTTTGCGGAGCCGGCTCTGGAGCGGGGGGTGCTCCCGACTCGGGATATTGGGGTGGGAAGGGGAAGATCCTCAAGGTCCCCTTTCCCAACCAACCCATTCCAGGGGTTTTGGGGATCTCCCTGATCCCGAGAAACCCCGGGATGGGCTCCTGGGATCCGGATCCAACCTGGCTCTGGGAGCAGGGACAGGGATGGGGATGGAGCTCCTGGGAACTCCTGGAAATTCCAAAGGGGGATGATCCACCACCACTCCTGTCTGGGGCTTCCCTGAGCTCCGTCCCCATCCCTGTGCCCTGATCCCAACAAACACCAGGATCAGCTCACAGGATCCGGATCCAACCCAGCTGTAGGATCCCCAGAAAGCCAGGGATGGAGCTCCAGGGACAGGGATGGATCCCCAGAAAGCCAGGGATGGATCCCCACAAATCCAGGGATGGAGTTCAGGGGACAGGAATGGAGCTCAGAGGACAAGGATGGATCCCCATAAATCCAGAGATGGATCCCCATAAATCCAGAGATGGATCCCCATAAATCCAGAGATGGATCCCCATAAATTCAGGGATGGATCCCCATAAATTCAGGGATGGATCCCCATAAATTCAGGGATGGATCCCCATAAATTCAGGGATGGAGCTCAGAAGACAAGGATGGATCCCCCTAAAGCCAGGGATGGATCCCCATAAAGCCAGGGATGGATCCCCACAAATCCAGGGATGGATCCCCACAAATCCAGGGATGGATCCCCATAAATCCAGGGATGGATCCCCACAAAGCCAGGGATGGATCCCCATAAATTCGGGAATGGATCCCTACAAAGTCAGGAATGGATCCCCATAAATCCAGGGATGGATCCCCACAAACCCAGGGATGGATCCCCATAAATCCAGGGATGGATCCCCATAAATCCAGGGATGGATCCCAGAAGACAAGGATGGATCCCCATAAATCCAGGGATGGATCCCCATAAATCCAGGGATGGATCCCCATAAATCCAGGGATGGATCCCCATAAATCCAGGGATGGATCCCCATAAATCCAGGGATGGATCCCCATAAATCCAGGGATGGATCCCCATAAATCCAGGGATGGATCCCCATAAATCCAGGGATGGACCCCTATAAATCCAGGGATGGATCCCCATAAATCCAGGGATGCATCCCCACAAACCCAGCCACGAATCCCCCCGGCACCTCCAACCCCCCTCCTCTCCTCCTCCTCCCCCCTTATTTTCCATCCCTCCTCCCCACACCCCCCCCTCCCCCCCCCATAATTTTCCATACCTGCCTCCCCAGGTCGCCCCCGCGCTCCAGGGAACTGAGGGAATTGCGGCGCCGCTGCTGCTGGGCCACGGCCACGCCGAGCACGAGGGTGTGGAGGCCGCAGGAGGCGGCGGCCACGGCCACGATGGGCAGGAGGCGCAGGGGCAGCGTCAGGAAGAAGGAGAAGACGAAGAAGGCCTGCCAGCCCACCGTGTCCGCCGGCTCCGGGGCGCTCCCGAAATTCAGCGCCAGGTAGCCCAGGACCTGCGGGAGGGGGGGATCCGTCGTTACTCGGGATCGTGGAATATCGGCTTGGAAAAGAGCTCCGGGATCGCGGAGTCAGATCCGACCCCGCCGTGGTTCCCGGCCCGTGGCGTTGATGCCACATCCAAGCTCATCCTGAAAATTTAGACCTTGTTTTCCTGCAGGAATCCCAGAATCCCAGAATCAGCCGGGTTGGAAAAGAGCTCCGGGATCGCGGAGTCGAGCCTTGGATACGACCCCGCCGTGGTTCCCGGCCCGTGGCGCTGATGCCACATCCAAGCCCATCCTAAAAATTTAGATCCTGTTTTCCTGCAGCAATCCCAGAATCCCAGAATCCCAGAATCAGCTGGGTTGGAAAAGAGCTCCGAGATCGCGGAGTCTGACCCTGGATCCGACCCCGGATCCAACCCCGGATCCGACCCCGCCGTGATTTCTGGCCCGTGGCACTGATGCCACATCCAAACTCATCCTAAAAACTTAGACCCTGTTTTCCTGCAGGAATCCCAGAATCCCAGAATCTCAGAATAAGCTGGGTTGGAAAAGAGCTCCGAGATCGTGGAGTCCGACCCTGGATCCGACCCCGGATCCAACCTCGGATCCGACCCCACCGTGGTTCCCGGCCCGTGGCACAGATGCCACATCCAAGCTCATCCCGAAAATTTAGACCCTGTTTTCCTGCAGGAATCCCAGAATCCCAGAATTAGCTGGGTTGGAAAAGAGCTCCGAGATCATGGAGTCCAACCCTGGATCCGACCCCGCCGTGGTTCCCGGCCCGTGGCACTGATGCCACATCCAACCTCATCCTAAAAACTTAGGGCCTGTTTTCCTGCAGGAATCACGGAATCCCACAATCAGCCGGGTTGGAAAAGAGCTCCGAGATCGCGGAGTCCGACCCTGGATCCGACCCCGCCGTGGTTCCCAGCCCGTGGCGCTGATGCCACATCCAAGCTCATCCCAAAAATTTAGACCCTGTTTTCCTGCAGGAATCCCAGAATCCCAGAATTAGCTGGGTTGGAAAAGAGCTCAAAGATAGCTGGGTTGGAAAAGCGCTCCGAGGTCGCGGAGTCGAGCCTTGGATCCGACCCCGCCGTGGTTCCTGGCCCGTGGCACTGATGTCACATCCAAGCTCATCCTAAAAATTTAGACCCTGTTTTCCTGCAGGAATCCCAGAATCCCAGAATTAGCTGGGTTGGAAAAGAGCTCCGAGATCACGGAGTCAAACCCTGGATCCGACCCCACCATGGTTCCCGGCCCATGGCGTTGATGCCACATCCAACCTCATCCTAAAAACTTAGGGCCTGTTTTCCTGCAGGAATCACGGAATCCCAGAATCAGCCGGGTTGGAAAAGAGCTCCGAGATCGTGGAGTCCGACCCCGGATCCAACCCCGCCGTGGTTCCTGGTCCATGGCACTGATGTCACATCCAAGCTCATCCTAAAAATTTAGGCCCTGTTTTCCTGCAGGAAATCCCAGAATCCCAGAATCAGCCGGGTTGGAAAAGAGCTCCGAGATCGTGGAGTCCGACCCTGGATCCGACCCCGCCGTGGTTCCCGGCCCGTGGCACTGATGCCACATCCAAGCTCATCCTAAAAATTTAGACCCTGTTTTCCTGCAGGAATCCCAGAATCCCAGAATCCCAGAATAAGCTGGGTTGGAAAAGAGCTCCGAGATCGTGGAGTCCAACCCTGGATCCGACCCCGCCGTGGTTCCCGGCCCGTGGCACTGATGCCACATCCAAGCTCATCCTAAAAATTTAGGCCCTGTTTTCCTGCAGGAATCCCAGAATCCCAGAATTAGCGGGGTTGGAAAAGAGCTCCGGGATCGTGGATCCGACCCTGGATCCGACCCCGCCGTGGTTCTGATGCCACATCCAAGCTCATCCTAAAAATTTAGACTCTGTTTTCCTGCAGGAATCCCAGAATCCCAGAATCCCAGAATTAGACGGGTTAGAAAAGAGCTCCAAGATAACTGGGTTGGAAAAGCGCTCCGAGGTCGCGGAGTCGAGCCTTGGATACGACCCCGCCGTGGTTCCCGGCCCGTGGCGCTGATGCCACATCCAAGCTCATCCTAAAAACTTAGACCTTGTTTTCCTGCAGGAATCCCAGAATCCCAGAATCCCAGAATCAGCTGGGTTGGAAAAGAGCTCCGAGATCGCGGAGTCCGACCCTGGATCCGACCCCGGATCCAACCCTGGATCCGACCCCACCATGGTTCCCGGCCCATGGCGCTGATGCCACATCCAACCTCATCCTAAAAATTTAGACCCTGTTTTCCTGCAGGAATCCCAGAATCCCAGAATCAGCTGGGTTGGAAAAGAGCTCCGAGATCGCGGAGTCCGACCCTGGATCCGACCCCGGATCCAACCCCGGATCCGACCACGCTGTGGTTCCCGGCCCGTGGCGCTGATGCCACATGCAAGCTCATCCCGAAAATTTCGACCCTGTTTTCCTGCAAGAATCCCAGAATCCCAGAATTAGCTGGGTTGGAAAAGAGCTCAAAGATAGCTGGGTTGGAAAAGAGCTCCGAGATCGCGGAGTCCAACCCTGGATCTGACCCCGCCGTGGTTCCCGGCCCGTGGCACTGATGCCACATGCAAGCTCATCCCGAAAATTTAGACCCTGTTTTCCTGCAGGAATCCCAGAATCCCAGAATCAGCCGGGTTGGAAAAGAGCTCCGAGATCGCGGAGTCCGACCCCGGATCCAACCTCGGATCCGACCCCACCGTGGTTCCCGGCCCGTGGCACTGATGCCACATGCAAGCTCATCCCGAAAATTTAGACCCTGTTTTCCTGCAGGAATCCCAGAATCAGCTGGGTTGGAAAAGAGCTCCGAGATCGCGGAGTCCAACCCTGGATCCGACCCCGCCGTGGTTCCCGACCCGTGGCGCTGATGCCACATCCAAGCTCATCCTAAAANAATCCCAGAATCCCAGAATCAGCCGGGTTGGAAAAGAGCTCCGAGATCGTGGAGTCCGACCCTGGATCCGACCCCGCCGTGGTTCCCGGCCCGTGGCGCTGATGCCACATCCAAGCTCATCCTAAAAATTTAGACTCTGTTTTCCTGCAGGAATCCCAGAATCCCAGAATTAGACGGGTTGGAAAAGAGCTCCAAGATAACTGGGTTGGAAAAGAGCTCCGAGATCGTGGAGTCCAACCCTGGATCCAATCCTGCTGTGGTTCCCAGCCCGTGGCGCTGATGCCACATCCAAGCTCATCCCGAAAATTTAGACCCTGTTTTCCTGCAGGAATCTCAGAATCCCAGAATCAGCTGGGTTGGAAAAGAGCTCCGAGATCGCGGAGTCCAATCCCGGATCCGACCCCGCTGTGGTTCCCGGCCCGTGGCGCTGATGCCACATCCAAGCTCATCCTGAAAATTTAGATCCTGTTTTCCTGCAGCAATCCCAGAATCTCAGAATCCCAGAATTAGCTGGGTTGGAAAAGAGCTCCGAGATCGAGGAGTCCGACCCTGGATCCGACCCCGGATCCAACATCGGATCCGACCCCGCCGTGGTTCCCGGCCCGTGGCGCTGATGCCACATCCAACCCCATCCTAAAATTTTAGACTCTGTTTTCCTGCAGGAATCTCAGAAACCCAGAATCCCAGAATTAGCTGGGTTGGAAAAGAGCTCCGAGATCGTGGAGTCCAACCCTGGATCCGACCCCGCCGTGGTTCCCGGCCCGTGGCGCTGATGCCACATCCAACCTCATCCCGAAAATTTAGACCCTGTTTTCCTGCAGGAATCCCAGAATCAGCTGGGTTGGAAAAGAGCTCCGAGATCGCGGAGTCCAACCCTGGATCTGACCCCGCCGTGGTTCCCGGCCCGTGGCGCTGATGCCACATCCGAGCTCATCCTAAAAATTTAGACCCTCTTTTCCTGCAGGAATCCCAGAATCCCAGAATCAGCTGGGTTGGAAAAGAGCTCCAAGATCACGGAGTCTGATCCTGGATCCAACCCCGGATCCAACCCTGGATCCGACCCCACCATGGTTCCCGGCCCGTGGCGCTGATGCCACATCCAACCTCATCCTAAAAACTTAGACACTGTTTTCCTGCAGGAATCATGGAATCACGGAATCCCAGAATCAGCCGGGTTGGAAAGAGCTCCGAGATCGCGGATCCGACCCTGGATCCAACCCCAGCCCATGGCACTGATGCCACATCCAACCTCATCCCAAAAACCTCCAGGGAAGTGACTCCACCCCCTCCCTGGGCAGCCCATTCCAAGGGCTGATCCCAATCCATGGGAAGAATTCCTTCCCGATATCCAACCGGAATCTCCCCCTGGAGGCTGAGCCCTCTTGTCCTGCTGCTGCTTCCTGGGAGAAGGGAAACACTGGGAGGTGGGAAGAGTTGGGATGTGGGAGAGGAGGAGGAATAGTTGGGATGTGGGAGAGGAGGGGGAATAGTTGGGATGTGGGAGAGGAGGAGGAATAGTTGGGATGTGGGAGAGGAGGGGGAATAGTTGGGATGTGGGTTGGGAAGGGGAATAATTGGGATGTGGGAGAGGAGAGGGAATAGTTGGGATGTGGGATAGGAGGGGGAATAGTTGGGATGTGGGAGAGGAGGAGGAATAGTTGGGATGTGGGTTGGGAAGGGGAATAATTGGGATGTGGGAGAGGAGAGGGAATAGTTGGGATGTGGGATAGGAGGGGGAATA